CATCTGTTAAAAATGAGTTGGAGGGAAACTTAACATTTAAGTCAAAATGTCATATCTAGTCTAGTGATCTGAAAGATCAGTAGTTTTTGCTAAATGCCAAGGAATGGAGCACAAATAAGATATACAATACAACGATAACAAAAAATGTCTCTCAGCAGGAATGAAGTGCAGCATACTTGGATAAAGGTAAAAGAAAAGAACAGAAACACAGAAGGTTTATCTGAGCTTTTACGCTAGAAATAGTTGCCTGCTGAGACTGGGAACAAGATTGATGAGAGCTAAGGGCGGGAAAACCAAAACAATGAACTGAAAGACGCTAAAAGACTTCATAGCTGAGGGAAACTGTAGTCAGGTAGTAATTCTCTGTAGATTCATCACCAAGGGAATTGCTCATACAATAGTAATGATAAATGCAGCTAAAAACAGATCTGACAAGACAAACCAACTTAACATGTAAAATCTGCTGTGACAATTAAACTACATAGAATAGCAGAAGCCAATAATAGGCACTGATAAATCATTGAAAGTTAGTATTGAGGAAGATAATTAACTAAAACTCCTCTAAAGGGAACTGGGTTCCCTCAACATGAGCATCAAGCCAACTCCACTGAATCAGACGTATACCAGAGAGAGCAGACGTAATCGTGTGCAAGTACCAGCAAGAGGGAATCATCCTCTCAACAGCTTCAGTAGTATTTGTTTTAAGATCAGGTGGATGAGGGAATGAATCTTAGACTCAGTACAAGCAGAGCCCGGGGGAAACACGTCCTTATGCATGTGCTTCTGTGTGTTTAGTGCTTTCGTCCATGTCATCCAATTTCAATATTTCGGTGAAACCTCTACAGCTCTGCAAGCCCCTAGGTTTGATAAACCTCCACACAAGCACCAAGGCTGCGTTTGTTTTCTATTCCATCATAAAGGACGTCGGGTCAGTGAAAGCCCCACGAGCAACAGAGACCGATTGAAAAGTGATCGGTGGAGAGAAAAAAGGACGTCACACCAGCAGGGAAAGTTTTGCCCTTCATCAGCCCTCCATTCCTCTATCCCTCCTATCTCATTAAGGATGGATAGATGATCAATAAGAGAGAAGCAGTAGAAGGGGATTAGGATTAGAAATCGATGGCTTTGTTTTCTTCAGCCTGCCAAAGATAAACACTGCCTTAAGACACTGACAACGCTACACAGAGGCTTTTATGGCTTTTCATGTGTGTGTGAGAGGGCACGACGTTCCCTCTGTGTGGACAGATAGACATCTGCTTGTAACTTCTCATGCTGAGTTAAAAAGCGACACGTCGATTACCTCATGAGATTGGGAGAAGGGAGGTGGGCTCTGATCTAATTTAGTGGTAGTATATTTAGTATATGTAAGTAGTAAGAGTAATGAGACTGAGACTCTGTTGATATGTTGTAGATGTTTCGCTTTATATACAGGTTTGACGTGTGTGGGAGACAGAGCTTCACTATCACAGATCAGAGGTTGACTGCTTGTTCACATCAAGTCACAGTTTTCTCAGAGAATAGCTGGAGAGGATTGTGCAGAGGTAGTATCATAATAAACCAGCTGAAAATGAAAGTGAATCTCCTAAAACCTGAGTGGAATGTAAGAAGTGAGGCAGGGCATTCTGGGTAGGTGAGGCTATACACCTCCCACACAGAGATTCAAAAACATACCCCCTGCTTTGATCTCTCTCTGCTCTCGCTGCTCTCTCTAACACCATCTCCTCTTCCCTGGCTCTTCTTCACACGCACGCACACACACACACACACACACACACACACACACAGACAGGCACACACACTTGCCTGTTTGTTGTGGCTTTCGCCCCTCTGTCCTTTGAAAGAACAAAGGCATTTGTTTATGGGTCCTGCAGATGAAAGCTTAGCTTTGCAACGGGCCATCTTAGATGTACAGATGCTGCCGCTCCATGATTTATCTTACCATAAAGTGGAAGCAAAAATAGAAATGACCATAAAGTCATAGTTCTGAAGTTCTCATTTTAAAAGATTTCACGATCTGAATGATTTTTGGTTTGTGTTCCCTGATAACCACGATGGTACTTTTCAAAGTCACAGGTTTATGCCTCTCAGCATGTACTTAGCAGAAAGCTGGGGGAGGAGCAGAAACATGAAAAGACATTCATACCTCATATCGTCTTCAATCCATCTGACATGCATGATTTTGGACTGTGGGAGGGAACCAGAGCAGCCTCAGGTGGACGCTAGGAGGACATGCAACCACCTAGAAAGGACCATGTCGATCGGATGCCAACATGAAACCTTGACTTCAAACCTTGCTACTTCAAGCCCGCAATGGTTTAACCAACGTCACACTGGCAATAAGTGCTGCAAGGGAGTTTTTTGGTATTTTTTAAATGCCCACTTATATAAAATCCCATCCTTCACAGAGATTGGCAGTTGTGCAGACTGTTATTTACAGTAACTTGAACTTTTTTCCCATTCACATTTTATGACAAACTATGACATTTTTTTATGATATCCTTCACTATGACCTTATTTTCTATATAATCTATGGCATACCAAATTATTACTTTTTATTGCATTTTTTATGGCATTCTATACTATTTATTTTATTGAAAATGTATTTATAGAACACTATACTATACCTTTTTTACTTTTTACTTTTACTTTTCATGACATTTTTTCAACATGCTATACTATGACTTTTTTTATGACTTCTTACAAACTTGCTATACTTTGACTTTTCCGTGACTTTTTTGGATATGCTATACTATGACTTTTTTAAAAATACTAAACTATAACTTTTTATGAATTTTTTCGACATGCTATACTTTAACTTTCCATGACTTTTTTTCGACATACTATATACTATGACTTTTTGCAATTTTTTTCGAAATCCCACCCTATGAGATTTTACAACTGTTTTTGACATACTATACTATGAGCTTTTATGACTTTTCGACATGCAATACTATCAGCTTTTTTATGGCTTTTTTTACATGCTGTACTATGACTTTTTGATTATGTTTTTTGACACGACTTTGACATGTTATACCATGACTTTTCTCAGACTTTTTTTAACTAGCTATTTCATGACTTTTTATGTAATGCTATACTATGACTATTTTATATCTTGTTTGGACATTCTCTACAGTGACTTTTTTGTGACTTTTCTATATATGACTCATGAAATACTGTACTATGATATTTTTAAGACATTTTTATGGAATACTATATTATGACTTTTTGATGACTTTTTTTTACTGCATACTATACAATGACATTTTTATGAAAGTTTTTTAAATACTTTACTATGAATCTTTTTGTTCATTCCTTTATGAATTTTCATGAATTTTTCGTGGCACACAATGCTGACATTTCATGGTATACTCTCGACTTTATCATACTATACTATGACTGTTTTCAGGACATACTATCATAAAACATATTTACAATTATTTTATGATATAGTATACTATAACATTTTATCTGACATACTACAGTACAACATTTAATGGCACGCTATACTATGACATTTTCAAGACATACGATATTTTTGTATTTTGTCTTTATTCACATATGACGTTTTATTGCATATACTATACTATGACATTTTTTAATTACAGATTGTAATCCATTACAGATTTGTTGTAGATTTTAATGCTGTGGTGTCATAACTTAACTTATTGCTTACCTTAATCTTTACTTTGTAAATCACTTAACAAAAAAAGTAATTTCTAAAACTTTGCTGACCTCTGACTTAGAGAAAAAGGCTGATATTTCATACTTTTGTTATTGTAAACCGAATTCATGAAAATACAACAATGTGTCAGTCCATCTCTTATACTTGTTATTCTTTTTTACCTTTCCCAGCCTGAATCCCTTCAGGTAAAAAAAATAGCAAAGCCCAAATAATTACCGTAAACATCTGGCCACTCTGGTTTTTGCAAATGTTACTCAAAAGTTGAGTTGACAGTGCATTTTTAGGGACTATTTCCAGCTGATGATGTATACGTATTTAGTGCTTTAGTGAGTATCCCCTACACTAAACTACACTGCCTGTTCATCGTAATAAAGTAATAGTACAACAGTTTGGCTCATTGATGTGTTTTCAGTAGTTTCTGGACAACCATGGGATTAATAAGATACTGTATTTCAAGTTTGAATGCAATTTGCTAATAAGAAACATATTAGAATATATCTAGACACATCCTTTAACAATTCTTTACCTTAGTCGATCACTGGCACTTTTGGACTGGGGAAGGAATAACCACCTGGCTGAATATCAGGGAGGATATTGAGTAGGCAAGAGAAGGAGCAAAAAGTGTTTTCACCGGTAGAAGGACAAAAAAAGGGTGAGGGAAACAATTTAATTCCAGGACAATTGGTCATGTGGGTGCTGATCCTTGTCCATCGCACATTCCATCATGGCCCGACATGGCTGACTTGTCACCCTGAGTGACATTCGTAATACTGGCTTACACATAAAGCACACACATACACAGAGCAATGCATGTGTACCCGCACACAATTGCAATATATATATATATATATATATATATATATATATATATGTGTGTGTGTGTGGTTAAAGCCATGTTGATCTTTGTCTGTTTTATATAGTGTATTTTTAGCAGCAAAGCGTCTGCAGATAAATAAAATGCCAGCACCACTATAGCAATCACAATTTCATATCATTACGTTTGCGAGTGTTTAAATGTCACTGTGTTGTGGGGGGTTTTGAAGTATGAAGCTTTAAATATAAGCTTTCATTTTAGGTCTAATAAAAAGATTTATGGCATATGGCAGCTCAAGTACTGGCATATGTCTTTGTGTAATTTCATTTTACAGTGCAACTAAGTCTTACATTTTCAAGTAGCTCAAGACTACAGTATGCATGACTGTATGAGATTCCACACAAGATGTGGCAGCATTAAGAACTACACTTTCTTTCTGAGACATTGTAGGGCCATCTAGTGGACTATATGCACATAACATTAGAGAGTCAAAATAGATATATATATATTTTTTACACGATATAATTTTTATTTTATTTTACAGTGATCAGCTACAAACACTGTTGCCTACAAACAGGCAGGTTAACGTCAGCAGACTCAAATAACACAGTCATATGTTACAGCAGTGCTTATCGACACAGTCAGGAAGTCTAATTATGTTAGTCTTGTTGATCCCCATGTATGGAAGAAGGGAGGTACTGTCTGTGGCAACAGTCGATTTATTTTCTTACCAAACTGTATAAAATCTAAGTTTATTTCAGTTCAGCTCAGTTTGTTTAATTCGGCCATTGATGGTTAATCCAGTCATAGAAGACTATTTGCATATTTTCACACAGCCAACATGCTTGTAGCTGGTTCAGACTTTCATGGCCTATTACAACAAATGGAAGTACAGCTTTTGACAATTTGACAAATAGGCAGGACAGAATGTCTCCCAATCACACATCAATAAGCATGCAAACACATGCACGCACTGAGACATAAGGGCACGTACGAACTGACATGCATGTGCTTAAGCACACACAGTTTATCTATCATTTACAAAAGTTTTGATTTTTTTCCCTTTATTTGCGGTTGATCTTTTGGTTCTAAATCCTGAAAAGGTGTGAATACATGGTCTATATATTTTGTAACTGTTCTTCAAATATTTGGTATTCACCCACAACAAAATACTCTGTATGTTTATATTTTTTCGTTATTTTGAAATAATTAGAAGTGACCAAAATATTAAAAACAGTTATGAAAATGAGTTTGTCAATAAGGCATTTTGAACACAACCATTCATTGTCAGATCAAAGATTCTTAAGTGGACCACCACACACACTGTGCATACACAGCACATAACACATGAACTGTGTTTGAGTGTTTCAAACAATAATTAATGACAAAATAACCAGACAAATACGATTTCAGCCACATGTCCATTGATAAAGTGCTAAAATAAAATGATATACAGCTTTGACATGCCCCTAGTGAAAAATAAATGCATGAATAAACTCTGAAGTAGTTAATCAAAAAGAGAAATCAATAATACATATATCCAAATTGCATAGCCAAAGCTGGCACAGTGCAGCGTGACTCATGAAACCTCCACAGCAGGCAGCAGGGCTGTAACAATACCTGTCTTAACAGCCCCCATTCACAGTGTCACTCAGCACATTTTACCATGTGATTAAACTTTATTTCTCTGCTTGATATCAATCAGATTGTCCAGCAGTTGATTTTTTTTTCACAACATTTTATGTATGTATGTTTGTTTGAATGTATGCATGATTGTATTGTTGTTTACTTAATTCCTTTAGTCTCTGTTGGCAAAGCAAGCTCCCACATGCAGCCTGGGCAACTATAGCATTAATTCTCATAGTGTCCTGGTAGCTTTGTTATTAGAACCTCACAGCTTCTGTATATGGGGACAGCCTCTGGCTCCACCCACCACTGCTGTCTCCACTGTGAGTTACTGAGAGAGCAGAGAGACAAATAAAGAGGGAGAGAAAAAGAGAATGAGTAGGAGGAATGCTGAGAGGAGCACAGCAAAAAATACAGTTAATTCACTTCATTTCTGTTCTGTGAGTTGACGATGAATAATTAATGGCCTGTACACCTACTGTCTCACTCTCCCCATCTGAGCCCCTTCTGGACTCTGAGCTGTAGTGCAGAGGAGAGTACACCCAGCCCCGGTCCTCCTGAGTCTGCTGTTATGGAACACAGGCAGCAGAGGGCAGCAGCAGAAGAGAGGAGACAAGAGGAGAGGAATGAGAGGAGAGCAGGGGACAGAATGATCAATTAAGATATTCCCCACTCACTGAATGGTTTAGAGCAGCCCGGTACAATTTAGCATTTTGGGGGCACCAAGATGCACACAGAGTGCTCACGGTCAGCTCATGATTACTGTTTAAAAAGACAATTTGCTAAGTAAAATCTACAGGGTCTCAGTTAAGGGATGATATAATCTGGATATTCTGGTTTACTTCAAAGACCCCAAAATCACATTTTCCCAATCAGCGTCTTATCATGACAGATGGGATCCTCGATAGACACACAACTTTCTGTCAAAGTCAGAACGGTTTTGGTTATTACACATAAGAAATTAAATTAATATATCAATAATTGAAACCATGTTTTCAGGGGCTTTAAAATGTAAAAAAGAATTCAGCTTAATAAACAGGTGATTTCCAGTGTCAGGAAGGAAGATCTCATCCTAGCAAAGCACTGACAACATTAATCTCCCTGAGTGCTACAGGGCGAAAGCTTGATGGATCTCTTAAAGCACAAAGCCAATACAAGCTAGCTACAGTTAAGTAACTGCAGGTCAAAGTTCCTCAAATAATTAAATTGCTGTTGCAAAACGATGCATGCTCCATTGAAATGCATGTAATGGCCCTTCAGAAGCTGGAGTTATTAATCTGCAATGTCTATTTTTGCAATCTTTGACACTAAATAAAGTTGTGCTTGTGACAGTCCCAAGGGAACAGCGACCAGCAATGCCATGGTGCGTGGAACAAATGACTCGAACTACTTTGGTGGTGACTTACATTGTAACTCAAGCTAGAGTTTAGCTTACGACGGCCAAGAACAGGGGAGTACACCCAGTATCTGCCATCTGCATACTGATGGATGGATGGACACACACACATGAAAATGAACACACAAATGCATATAGTGTGTGCACAGGAAAAATGAATGAATTGTTAGACAGAGGAGGAGAACTATGAGCAAAGATGTGAGAAGAGAGAAGCAGTTATGATCGAGGAGAGAGGGAGAAAAGAAAGTGGAAAGTGGAGAATGAATGCTATGATGTAAAACACATTTAAACAGAGAGAGAGGATTATGGAGGGCTGAGCATGACACTGACATGATGCATGGATGCAGAATATAGATCTAAAAACATCATGCTGTGCAGGAAAGACAAACCTATAGAGTTGTATTCAAAAGCATGAACTATGACCAGTGGCAGCCTCGTGCTTTGGATAAAAGCGTTTTGGACAGCAAGAGCAGCCCCATAGTACGTGCACGCTGCAACACACACACCCTCCCTTCCTCCCCCCCTCACCATCATAACTCTATCACGCTGTCCTGACTGAGCCACTGCGAGAGACCCAGTAGATCAAAGAAAAACAGGAGAAGGGAAATGACCTTTACTCTCTGGGAAGAGGACTGTCAACAAAACCAAACCAAAGACAGCTTTCTCCAATTTACTGACCAGTGTCATAAGAATGTGTACTGATACATCAGATCCAGGAAAAATGCAACTCTCAGTTCATTCCTTTTTGTTTTACTACTTGGCACTTTTTTAATATCATCTGAAAAAATTAAAAAACACAAAGCACTGACATTAGCTAATGGGGACTTACAAAGTAGATGTCAGACACCTGCACCTCTCCATCCAAAGAGTTGTGGCTGCTGGACACAGACAGCTGATTGCACGGAGTTTGCAGCGCCTGCTGAGGCACCTGGGGGCTTGGAGGGTGGGAGGAGGGAGGGGTCGAGGGGAGATGGTGAGAGGGGCTCTGGGTGGAGGAGTGAGAAGACGCAGGGCAGATGGGAGAAAACGCTGAGCCAGGTGGGAGGGTGGAGGTGTTTGGAGCCGAAGTGACACGTTTGGATTGAGCAGCTGAATGAGAGATTGGAGAAGAAAGAGTGGACGACTGAGCAGCGGTGGAAGAGGTGAGTGGTTTGGTGGATGGACAGATGGATGAAGCAAGTGTGGAAGACGACTGGCTAGCTGATGGAGCAGCGGAGGAGGAAGACACAAAGGAAGAAGGAAGGGTGGAGGAGGAATATGCTGAGGATGGACTAAGAGAGGGAGGAGGGGTGGATGAGGCAGTGGCATGGAGCTGGTGATCAGGTGACAGATGGCTGGGAGAGGTCATCTCTGTCATCTGTGTGAGCTCAGTGCTCTTTGGGATTTTACTGTACGAAACAGAAAGAGCAATGTTAAAATACTGTTACACAGGCTGCTATGAACGTTGTACTGTGGTATTGTTTTATGCACGTGTACCTGAGCTCCACCTCCACTGTAATTGTGTCCTGCTTCTCCCCATGAATCTCAACTACCTCTCTCTGTACCCTGAAAGTACACATGACAATAAAGGGTGTGAAATCAGTGGGGACAGCGCACACAGTACTTTTCCCCCCCACAAAATATCGTCATTATAGATGCATCATTGCATATTCATACGATTATTCTCACCTGGCCACACTTGGGGAAAGCATTTGTCTCCGGTAGCGTGGGTGCTCTGGTGTATCGAAGGGGGTTGTGGGTAAGGAGTTGTTAGAGGAGAGAGTGGTGGCTATAGAAGCTGTGGTAGCATCTTCAAAGGAAGGAGGAGTGCAGGGTGGCTCTCTCCCTGAGAGGCATAATCAACCAAGATGATCATTAAATATGAGAAAGGAAAATATACTATGAAATGAATGAACTGAATTGATTGTATGTGTGCTTGTACCACAAAGTCCTTTAAACCTTCATTGAAGTTTACTGGCATCTAATTGTGTACTGCACTCAAAGCTGTACATGTGACCAGGACTTTCATATTCAGTCGGACATTTACAAGGCTGTGGATTGCTTGCATAAGCTGTATTCACATGGTCACATTCTGTTCATTTCTTACCGCCTTTAGGAGTGTTGATGTGGGCAGCAAATAATGCATGCTCCGACACCTAACATTTCACTTTTCTATAGAATCTGTCAACACATATCTAGTCTTGATTTGTTAAGGGTTTGACCTCTACTTTGATTCTGTTGTTACTATACTGCTGCTGCACCTGCATTTCTCCACAGGGATCATTAAAGGCTCGCCTGATTTAATTTAAAGAGGAAATGGAGCTCAGTGGCAGACAACTGAAACCGTTTTTGTGCCAAGTTCAGAAAGACACAACGTAACAAGGGAAAACCGGCACTCACACGTTCACTGTTTATTTAAATACAGTGCTTTTCCTCACTAGCTTTGATGAGGGCAGAGGGCTATCAATCTTATACTGGGTTTAGATGTTTGGTAAGCATCCTTTAATGAACCCTGTGTTTACCGTGTCTGTTTATTATCCTAGACAAGTAAAGGTTTACTAGAAGCTAACTACCATTGTCCTCCAGCATGGGGAAGCTGCAATCTCCTCGTAGGTTCTCCAAGTTGTCCAGGTTTTCCTGCCTCTCATCACTCAGAGAGGGACGCTTCTCACTCGAACCCGTTCCTGCACTGGACTTGGACATGGAGAGAGCCCCTCGTCCTCTCTTAGATGGAGACGACCGCAATGCTGTAAAAGCAAGGGATCGATTACAATTTGCTCTCATTCAAAAAAGTAAAGCATTCCTGTAATTAATACGGAGGAAAACTAAATAGTTAAGCCTTATTGGCATTGTTGTCATCAAACATAACCCACTACAGGAGTATATGGCTGCTGCACATTTGTAAACTCACAGCTGCTCTTCTTGAAGACGATGGTGTTACAGAATTTGTAGAACCTCTCAGCATAGAAACTAGGTCTGTGAACTGACACTGTGTCCTGTGGGGCAATAAAAAAAGACTTAGTTTTAATTATTCATACATAATGCCATCAATGTGCTAAACGTATTACATAAAAGACACAGTGACAAAATAAGGTAAAGAAATACCATTTGGTGAGGTTTGTCTTGCTTGGATACAGACTATTACATTACATTAAGAGTTATGTGAAAGCTACACACCCCGTCATGGATGAGGGACTTCCAAGAGTGCTCCAGTTTCTTGATCATTCTGTCAGACAAGACAATTGAATTATTTAGTTAAACTCATTCCGTGACTTACTGTGGTTACCTGGCAGCTCTGAATCAGAGGCTAAAGCCCCACTCACGATGTGTGCAATAAAAAGATCTGTTTTAAAAGACTGGGTTTTATGCTAGGCACCACACACATTTCTTACGTCAACACTTAAAGTAAGTAATTGTATTTTGCTGCTCGAGGTAACACAATGGTGATTGAGCCTATGTCCCACTGATGAAAGTATTGCAATATTTATATATTTGTAGTATTACGAACTAGGTGTCTGTGGCGACATTCCCTCCTTTGCACAATATTTGTTGGTATGGAGTTTTGTATGCAGCCAAAGACTCTAGACTGCTAAACTCAAAGCACAATTCTTTGTTTTCAATCAAATAACAATTCTAAATCAACCAAGACTGAAATATTAGGGATTACCACTTTACTAGCTGTTATGTGTCTCCTCCATTAGTATTTGATTAAAAACAGTCTGACAAGTCTGGGATTGGTTTTTCCCTTATGATCTCACTCCATCTTTTAATATTCCTTGCAGACACATAATGCCTGGATTACTGTCTAAAACTAATCATTTCCTGACTTTGAAGCCAGAGAACAATCCTCATTTTAAGGTGTCCTGAAAAACCCGATGAAGGGCAGACTGATTACGAGAGCAACCTTACACAGTACATCAGACTGAGGAGGCAGTAGAGGTTCAGGGTGAAGACATCTGACACTGTGGGAAACTCTGAAAGCTTTCTTTATGCTGGAAAAGAAGCACCACTTTTCACTTCTGAGTTTTTAAACAACCTTATAAATATCACGCATGTGACATTAGAAACAATTCATGTCGACTTCAGTGTGGTTTTGAGCTTTAAGTCATAATGCGGTAACAACATAGACACTACAAAGAAGATGTGTAAACAACACGTCAGCTGTTTTTAAGTTGTTGTTCCGACCTGCAGGGGCGTTCACAGCAATAGAAAGTAAAGCGTAATGCGTGTACAAACAAAGCAACTACTCCCACCCCTGCATATATTTACATGGCACCTTTAACTTCTGATGTTTTTTTGTTTTCATGCCTACCTGTAGGACTGCAGGATGTCAATGATGCCAATGAAGAGCAGGAGGCGCTCTCCTTTACTACCCACCGCTGGAATACCACCCATACTACAGGCAGATAGGAGAACATTAACACCGTTTGTAAATGTAATGTGATGATAAGGGCAAACAGGTCAAAGATTATAAATGGTGACTAACGTGTCGTCGTGGTCCAGTGTGTCCCTGCATGTGGAGCCTCCCTGTATAGACTCCATGGCAGTGGAATACAAGGCTTTCTGAGCTGCACGCCTCTTTTCGTCCCCACCTCCTGGAGGTGAACCCTGAGACTGGTGCTCTCGCTCGGCTTGTGTTTTGTTGTGGACCCCCAGCAGCAAACTGTAGTCCATAATCTTAAAACTTTCCAGAACCTGACATGAAACATACACATCATATTCCAAAATTACATATTATGTTTCAAGCTTCAAATGTTACTTACAACATTTGTTTTTTAACACATAATAATACAAAATGTACTTTATCTCCCCTCTCTTCATCTATTCTTCAACTACTGAGCAAACAGTTAAATAGTTAATGTGTAGTTGGCTGTGCTGCTTGGTTAAAATAAAATGCCCAGTGTTAATCTACTTTTACAAAGTACTATTCATCAATCTCCCCGCTCTTCTTTTCTCACCAGACAGTCTCTCTGCAGAGTTTTGACTAGAGCGCTGTGTGTGTCCTGGTCCAGAGTGAGGCCTTCAGGAACGTCATTCAGAAAGTCCAGGTCTTTAAAAGTGGGTTTGGACTTTTCTCTTTCCTTCTTGGACGCTCGCCTCTTGTATGTGGAGCCCTTTAGATCAAACTTCAGGTGCATGCGTACAGAGCGTGGTAAAATATTGTTCATCACAACAACTCTGATGTTCTTGCCCCCGCACTGGACGCAGTAGAGGCCAAAAAACTTTGGCAGCAAAGTACGGGGGTTCTGGTTCAAGTTCTGGAGATGTGGGTTCATGCAGCAGACATAGGGGAAGAGACAGGGAGAATTAAATTAATAAGGCATTTAGTTTCTTGTGTTTCAGCCTCAGTACCATGCACCTGGAGGACAGCGTGATCCTTCCACAAGCCTCAGCCAACTCTTGTGTGTGTCCACTGGTTGCATGCTTAACCTATTAAGGAGTACTTAGCCCAGGTCTCGGTCAGGTACAACCTCTGCCCTTATATCTATTACAAAGTCATCTGCTGGCGTCACTGCTGACCGCGGACAACAACAGGGGGTAGGATAAAGAGGATTAAGATAAGACTAGGAGTTTCAGTTGCTGTGTAGCTCTTAAGCATTTCCACATGTACACAAACATCCCACATACCAAAATCTCAGCATAGACACACTATTACACACTCTGTTTATACTACATGTTGAATTGTACACACACAGTATGTAATATATCATTATAACATGCATGTTGAAAATGGAAAACAATTTGGAAACGGCGACTGAATTGATTCTGATGAGGGAGGGGCTCGGCTTGACTTACCATATAGTACCCCGGAAGGAGTTTCTGAAGAAACTCTGCCTCTTTGTGCTGAACAGTTTTGATGATGAACTCGTCATCGCGGGTCACATAGAATATGGAGCCACTAGCTCCTGGGTTTGTCAACTCGATCAGTGGCTCATTACATATAGAATACTAAGAAGAGCACAGACACAGAGGAAGAGAGATTTAAATCACTACCCCTGGAGACACGGACACTACCCCACTCTCTGAAAGAAAGTGTCTCTACATACAACTGTCATAAAAGCAGACTTTATCAATTTCTAAGCTTACGCTGCCTGTTTTAAAGGAACCGTTGTCCTTTTGGTAAAGGTCTTTGAAAATGTAATTTCATGTCAGATGTTTGATTAATGACAGTTTTAATTTCATCCTCGCTTTAACACTTCATGTGTACTGCAGGGCTGCGTAGCACTGTTAATGTTGGATCCAATAGAGCTTTCAAATAATCAAACCAAAAGACTAATACATCCACCCACTCACATGGCATTGCTCAACTGCAGCAAAAAAGGAACTTTGTTTCACAGGGCAAGTGTCTAAAGTACAAAAAGGCATGATGGGTGTGAGTGCAAACAATTACACATCTAGGAGTGTAAACTGTACATTATGACTTTTCACACCTTACTGCAGTATTAGTATCTACAGTGAAGTTACTCATTTAACTGTGAAAATGTTACTTTCACCCACTTCTTGCTCATGCTGCATACCATTGCACTAGCAAGAATTGTGTTAAAACTGCAGCAATAATAATCAACCCTGTTCTAAAGAAGCTGGTTAGAATCTGGAGACTTGAGTTGAGAAGTAAGAGAAAGTGTCCATTGCTTATAGTTAATTTAACAAAGCAATTTCACTTTCTGAGACTTAGTCAAATCCATGCAATTATACTGGTACTCCACCAGCAACACATGCAAACACAAACTACTCTGTCTGCTGCTGCTACTTTTTGTTTAAAAAAAGAAAGCTTTAATCTGCTAATCTCCCTCTGGCACAGGTAACGTGCAGCTAATGTGTGTGTAAATACTGAATGTGTGCACTCTTGCATGCAAAATAAGTGACTGTGTGTATTTTATTCCAATAAACATGCAATGCACAACAAAAAATATGAAATATTATTAGATCTTTCTTTTTTTGTTCATAGACAAGGACATTGTAATAGAAATTACTGTTGGAATTATATAATACCCACCTACACTGCGTCGGTATGGCTCTATTCCAACTATCTAATATCACGAACTGGCCAGTGGACCAGTTCAATAATATAACCATTGGGAAGGCAAATAATTCTGTATGACGTGTAAATATTAACTTCACTGCTGATGCTCTTTATAACAGAAAACATTTCAGTTACACAGCTCATTAAGGCATTAAAATACGGACAATGCAGCATCAGTCATCAGTAAAAACAAATATCTCACCAGGTAGTCATCTGGTCGGATCCCAAACAGCTCTCGGAAGTAGCGGAAGGCCACAGGGGCATAGGTCTTAAACCTAAAGTCTGGGTAGTGGTGGGCTGGAGTGAGGTTACTGCCTTCACTGTATGGAGCAAAATGTGGCAGACAGGATGAATTAAAGGTTTATTAGATACTTGCCACACACTCGCCCTCACATAAACACACGCTCATACAAACGCACCCGGGGAAGAAGATGCTTTCCACCACGTAAAAGTCCTGCATCAACACATCTCTCTCAGGCTTGGAGCTGAGGTTGCCTACAGTGTATCCAATACCCAGCTGGATGGACCCTTGCAAGGCAGAGGAGGTAGTCTGGAGGCGGAGAACAGAGAAAAGAACAACAGAGTAGTGTTGCCTTCAGGTGTGGGTGGAACGTAGTTGATGAAATCGTGATGCCAAGCAAACCAACAAAAAGTATTTAAGGCAAAAGATCAAGAAAAACAAGGAGACAGATGAAGAGGAGGGGCGACCTTCTTATATGTTGTCTCTCCAGAGGCATCTACCCTCCTATGGCCAATCTTTTTCTCATTGGCAAGGCCGACTCCGAATGGGGACGGCATCTGTTACAAGGGAGAGAAAAGGGGAATGCAAATGTGTACGTGTTATAAGGTTACGCATTTATTGTGCACAATCACAGGTGAAGGATTGAACAATGCAGGAAACCAATGCAGATGAAAGAAGGCAAAGAGAAGAAAGCAACAGAGACAGGTGTGTAGCGTGAAGTAACCTCTCACCTCTGTTATCTGCGCCTTCTTGGCTGAATCTGTGGACAGAGACAGAGACAGAATGAGCAGGAGACATAGTTTGAGAAATGTCCACATCAGTGCAAAATATTTAGCCTGATTAAGCAAATAATAATTTAACAGAGAATGTCAACTTTGGCATCAGACTCCACTGGGTTTTATGATTGTTATCCAAATAGATTTAGGGCATCACAAGGAGTACATGACATAGAGCACAATAAACTCAACATTAGGGCATACGTTGTTTTTATTTATTTCACTTTTTTCAGGGGGATTACCCTCCAGCATCAAGACTAACAGGATCTGTAGTAAATACCTTCAAGTGCACAGAAAAGTGGGCATTTTCAACATATAATATTCCATAGCAAAAGGAACAAGCTTGGTGCGATTGTTTTATTAACAACCAGATCCACATCCCTCAGCTCAGGCTACTCGTTTTGTTATATTGTTTATTTAAAAAGAGAAATGCACAATACATTTATTGCACCGGATAGAGCTAAAAGAGAATTTGGCAACTTTTCAATCAAATTGAACTTAATTAACCTTGTTCCAAATCAGTTGGCGGTCAACTCACCAGCAGAGGAGTTCAGTGCCAACAGGTAACCAATTGTTTTCTAATCCAGAAAGACATGCAGCAAAATTCCTGGCAAACCCAAAACCACCACGGCAGAGAGCAGCCAGTGTTTTCTATCCATGGATCAGTGAGAAGGTACAATCTCTATTGGATTGACTTCCTCCCTAATCTGAGTTCTGTCATTGGCTAAAATCTCCAGATCACATTGTCGGCCAATCACACATGAGGATTAGGAAGACTCTTTCCCACTTACATGAAGGACGAGACTGGGCATGTAATGTGACTGTGTATGAAAGACGCAGCAGAGAGAGCAGAAAGGAAGGAAGTGAATGGGAAAAGAGACAGTTCATAGTACTTCGAACACAAACGAAATGGTTTACATCATCGAGCTAAATTTCAGGTCATGTGAGGTTGAAGATTAAGGAAGTGCAGCTGACAGAGCCCGGATAATGAATCTTTAAGCCATGTTAAAGTACTGCACCCACTGTAGCAGAGTTTGCCATCACTAAAGCATGGCAGAGCACAATAATAGTGTCATCCATAACATAATGAATTGTTGTTTTAGGTCAGTACGTGCAAACAAAATGAAAGAATCATAAAACGTGAATTCTTAAAAATCCAAACTAACATGCAACAGATTTTATAAAATGTATAAAAGTTAGGTGATCACCAATGTCATCAGAATTCATCCCCTGGGCACCATGAATGTATGTTCTAAATTTCAGTAGTTGTTGGCACATGGAACAAACTTAAGAAAAGGGTATACAAATTGGACAGGACAAAAATAACAAATTCAGCATGCAGCATGCAACTGCACAAACAAAAATAAGTGTGTCCCCATAACTTCATTCATTGTCTTGTTTCCTGTGGCCCCCGTCACGCAGTGACAACACAGGCGCGGCTGGCCACACCTGTAACCTGCAGATTAACATTGCATCAAAGCCTGTCAGGCAGAACAATGAGAAGGAGTATCCTGGGGCAGGCGCACACACACAAAGAGTCTCTGTGGGATTAGGGTCAGGCCAGAATAATGTGCCACTGAGCTGCATGCAAAACAACAGGACAAGCACACTGCAGCATTTCTGATGACTATGTGCAGAACAGGCTACCTGTAAGATGGCTTGTTATGGACATGTTAGTGTTAAACTGCATTCACTGAAAGCTCATTTAGATGTTTTTGCAATGAAACACTATGTTAAGAAAAAATGCCTTAAGGCCTGTGTGTGTGTGTGTGTGTGTGTCTGTCATAAAGAGGATTCGATCTCTCTTATCAACTGAGAAAGTGGTGGCCTGTTGCTGTGACATTAATGTGACAGGAGTAGATTTCTGCCTCGAGGCTCTCTGCACACAAGTATAAGCTAGTGGATTTAGTAATTATCATGTGTGCACAACAAACATCCAACGTAACTGTGAACACATGCATGGACATGCATAGACAACATGTTGGACCTGATAAACTGATCAGGATCACGTCTGCTTTCCTTCATCAATCATTTGCACAGAAATATCATAAACCTGTCATGCAATGTTGTGTCGTATTTTCAGCCATGACATCCACAGCGATGCTGGAAATTGATACCCACAAGGGATTAGTGCGTGGTTTATGTTATAATTCCATATCAGATTATGTAAAGCACTCTTCAGATTTAGCTAGGAAGAGGAGGCAAGGGATGTGGAATGAATTATGAAGACAGACAAGAGGGTGAGGAGAAGAGACACTGTGTGCTGATGTCATACAAAAGGTATATAGCTACTGGTGATGCCACACACACACGACTACTGTATGTGTGTTTATAAATAGCTCCACACTCATTCAGGTACGATCTAACATTTATCCAGCAGCTGGTCTCGAGGTCTGATGGCACCATGTGTAGTGTACACATCCCTAATGTGCACCTTGTGTGTGTGTGCCAGCGTGCAGTGAGCCACCGACACCATGGGCCGTTCACAACAGAGCAGCGGTGACTTGAATCTTGACACCGTTATCTAACCAAGCAATTTATTATTCATTTCCACATCTTATGTTCCTCTAGGGATAATTTTTTCTGGATCTGCTTCCGTGGCAAAAAATACATATTTATTCTCTGTACAGTGATATAGTGAAAAATCTATTATCAGATATGATTGATTGACAGGATGCTGCCCACCTATGCCCAACTTCTACCACCAGCGCACCTGCTCTCGCCGGTCGGTGGACCACCAAAATGACGGGGCTATTTGACCGACAAGGACGCTAAATGAGAGACATACGAACCGGTGTCCCCCAGGTCGAGCTGCAGACAGAGGCTGGCGGCAGCTTCCTCACTCGTCCTCCCGTCATCCCCGGTTTCCGCAGTCCTGCCGTCCATCTCCCGGACTGTTCCCGACGATATCCTTCCTCAGTGAGTGCAAGATGAGGCGGTGTGCGCTTCGAAACAATGCAGAAATCCTGTCATTTCACCCTCTTCAGTGTTCACTGCAATTATTACATAATTTTCCACGATGCATGTCGCAGAGTATTGTGGTAAACGCAGGGACGCGGTCTGAGCCAGCGATGCTGATCATCGCTGCCGCTACTGAGCGTCATCGTTCTCACGCAACGGCTGATGCGTGAGCCGCTACAGCATCATCTTCCCAAAACCGACAATAGTAACGTTAGTTGGCTACAAGATACCTCCGGAAAGAGGTAAGAAACTGTTGACATTTTAAAATTGTAGGTACATTTAATAAGGCTCTGCTTTTAATGGAGACGACCACCAGCAGGGAATCTTATTCTCAAAAAAATTAGAATATATGGGGGTTGACAATAAAGAGATAATATGAGATGCTATTGTGAAGTTGTTTTGGTAAACGTCCTATTAATTACTAGCATAACCATTTTTTTTCAGTGCAGACCACATAAAACATATGAAAAAGTTGAAATTTGTGAACAGGCGAGTTTACCATGAAAATACAGAGTTTCCAATTATACATGAATAACTTATTAATATTTACTTTTGTTCAAATGCATCAGGTATTTTGAGGAAATCTGTTTCCCCTACAATTAGTTATATCAAGGAAACTTTCTGGGAATTTAGTAAGATACTTGTATAACAGACCCATAAAATAAAGTCGTAGGACTGTACATTATATAAAAAAAAAACAATTGTGCATTTAGACAATTCTACATGTCAACCCAAAAAAATGCAATGAGGCTATTTACTTGTATTTGGCACAATAAAGCTTTACTAAGGACGGAAACAAGAGGAAGCCTTACTACCAACACTAATTAAAACCTGGTTTATGTTTTGCAGAGCAAAACCGTGCATTCGCTTTACACCATCTAAACAAATTGTCCCCCCCCCCAAACTTCTTAAGTAACCATTCTTGAAGCCAGCAGGTGAGCAAATTCATGATTTTAATAGGTGCATGTAAATTGACAAGTTAATGTCCTGGACAGCATTTATTTTTCCAATTTCATCACATGACAAGTCATGACCTACAGATACAATAATGGAACCTTCGATAAGTTAAGTGCAAATAATATTATCAGTAGCTTTTCAGAAATCTAATAAATATATGGCATCTTATGTCCTTACATTAAATGGACATTGACACATGAACAAACGTGTCACTTAACATCAAGAAAGGACTACATGGTATGTGTAGTGGAAAGAGGAATGGCTGAGTCTGCAGTAAGATGTGAGGAGTCTCTAGTTTGCATAACTAATGAATGTCCTCTCATATGGTCTAATGGGTCTGGCATGGGTGTGTTCTGGGAGTTAGTTGCACGCTGGGGATCATCAGGCCTGCCCTTCCCAATGTTGGGTTTACAGACAGGCCGTCACTGGTCCAGACACACACACACACACACCAATACCCTTAAGTCCATGGGAGAGGTCAGGAGTCAAACAAACATATAGGAGACAGTATTACAGGTACGTAGGCAGGTCCTTCTCCACCACCTGCAAAGAGAAATAAGTCAAAATGTTACCATTGCAGCACCATGGACAGATATGTACTGTTCACTATAAATCTGAATTACATATGGATTATTAATTACCAGTTCCCCTACCCTTATAATCCATAAACTTTGAAGCACAACGCAACAAACTGTGTGAATAAACTCCAATAGGCTGAGATTAATAAAGCTCTAATTAAATGGAAGTAGAACTATTGTGAGCACCACCATCATGAGAAAGTTGATGCATTCACAGCATGCAACTTACGCTGGGATCATCCGTTGGCCCGTATCTCTTCACCACTTGTCCTTCTCTATTAATCAGAAACTGTTGAGGAAGAAGGCATTACAATATTAGCTTTTTATTTATCATATTTTTACTGTATTGTTCATGCAGTTGAGGCAAATTTTGACAGAAGATGCTTCTTAGAAAGGGACAGTGCCCACTAGAAAATTACCTTTGTGAAGTTCCATTTGATGCTACTGTAGAGAGGGAAACAAATATTACATTACAAACTATGGGTTCAACCTTCATGGAGCACAGCCTCAATTCAAGTTGGTTACAATGGTGACCAGTTTATAGATTAACTTCACAAGCTACTCCTGCAGCCGCATGATCTGTCACCGCTGTATGCTCAGTATACGACTCATATTTTCACCGAAATATGGTGAATTGCACTTCCTCTTGCTCAGTCCCCAAGCAGGTGTGTGTGTTGATGTTTGTGCCACAAAAAAAAAAAAAAAAAAAAAAAAACACCTTTTAAGCCTAAATAGCGTGAATGTTTTATACTCTATACTTCCGACATACGGCATCAAGACGAAAAGAGATGACGACGAATGCTGTTTGTTCAGACTTAGCTTATTAAGGGGACTTTATTTACAACACAATTGATTTTGGTATAGTAGCATGTAAGTACTGGACTGATTTAAATGCCCTTTTCACCACTAGCTCACAGTTCAATGCTGTAATCAGATGACCATGAGAGAATCATCTCTTCAACTTTACCCCACCCAAAGCAAGCGAGACACGAAAGAGGAAGAAAGTAGTGCGATGAAGTAATAGAAACTGAACAGGAGGTGTATGACAGTGTTCCCATTTCAGGGCAAATGTAGAAATTTAAACACTAAATCATTGTGAAAAATAAATATTTAAATCATCCGTGTGCTTACGTAGTACCAACCAATAATGTCATGACACCCACCCATCCATCAACGTTTTGACAAAGTGTGCCCGCCCCCCACACACACACACACACACACACACACACACACACACACACACACAC